TGAACTGTGGTTACTATTTTCTTCAGAATAATAATTCTTTATTTATGTTGACCCAATTTTTTAATATTTTTCCTAATTATTATACACAATGTGACTGCTGTTGAAATACACCTCAAGATGAACAATAAGGATAATTTCAAATAAAGCATAAATCTACCTCCCTACTGTTTTTGAGGCACTCATGCAAGCTGCAAATATTTCTTATACGTGAATCAATTAGCAGTGGTGATCTGACACGGCACCTTAGAGATTTGCCTCAATATTTCTAAGTGATTGGCTCAGTCTTCAGTTAATTTTCCTGCTCCAACAGCTGTAAACCACTGTCCAAAGACTTAGCTGAATGTCCACAATAACCAGAGAATTCACGGTGGCCACACCAAGAGACGGCAGAGAATGCATAGGTATAACATGCCATGTTGTGTTGGAAGAAAAGGCAGCTGGCAGCCTGACAACATAAGTCCTGGTTGGAAAAGGTCTTCCCTCCAGTGCCAAACATGGTACTTTATAGAAAGTGCCACATGGGCACCATTCAGTGCCAGAACTGTTTACAAAGCTAAAGAAGTTGAGTTGGGGCCTTTGTTCAGGATGAGTTTCTGCTTCATAAGTCGAAGGTATTTTAGTATGCACATGAACACAAATACATGCACACATAGACAGTGATATGGGATTCCCCTTTATATGCTGTGAATACCTTTGGTTAATAAAGAAACTGTCTTGGGCCTGCACAGGAAATAGAGGTAGGTGGGGGAAAACTAAACTGAATGCTGGGAGAAAGGAGGAAGAGTTGGGGAAAAGCCATGGAGCCACTGCTAGAGACAGACATGCCAAAACCTTGCCAGTAATTCAGTGCCACATGGCAATACACAGATTACTAGAAATGGGTTAAATTAATATGCAAGAGCTAGTCAATAAGAAGCTAGATCTAATGGACCAAGCAGTGATTTAATTAATACAGTGTCTGTGTAGTTATTTTGGGTCTGAGTTGCCAGGCTGCTGAGAAACAAACAAGTGGCCCCTCTGACAACAACACATAAGCTTGTTTTCTGTTTTGATGCATTCATCTTAGACTCTAAAAACTCCATTTCCAGTATCTGATCCTGAGAAATTAAGTGTGTAACTGCTGTGCATAACACTGTATCATCGCTGGCACTGCTAGAAGATGGCAGGAGGACCAGATGTGAACAAAGAGCCATGATGACTCTGCACCATTTCTCACTCAGGAGTTACAGGTTCCTTGCTGCCCATCAGGGTCAGAAAATTATGACAGGACGCTATTGCTCACAGCAGCAGTGAACTTTGACACTTCCCCTCCCACTTCTTCCCACTCACTTCACCGGTATCTTAAAGAAAATAAAGTATTGATATTGGCCTCTTCTCATAGGACCAAGGGCCTTCTATGGTACCTCTCAGTTGTGAAAGACAAGCACAAGTTGTTTTCATTCTTGGGCACATACTAAACTTGTTTACTTGGAATATCTCATGCTGTCAAAAGTGTTTCAGCCTTTTCTGCCTCTAGTAATATCTTGTCGCTTAATGACATAACTTAAATATAAAATCTAACTTGTTTTGAATGCACACAAATAAATATTTTCAGAGACACAGATGTAAAAGTAGCTAGAAACGGGCCAGCATGGATACTTTTTGGAAAATGACACCAAAATTAGCTTGCTTTGAATCATGTGAAAAAACCTAACACGAGGGTTTACTGTAGGACTATGGCTTTGCTCTATTCTTCAATGATTTTGAACTTGGTCAACCCCTGTGCAATGTAGAATACAAAAACCAGTCATTTTGGAGTTGTTGACTGTTTAACTATGGCAAAAGTTATAAGTAATATTGTATGAGAATTAGTAAAGTTTCAATAACCATTGATAAAGCCAAATATTAACATCTCTACTTTATTCAAATTAGTGATTTATAAATATTTTAATAAGTACAGTTATTATATTTGTCATGCATTCTTTAGGCTAATATATGCATCCAATATTTTGGGCATGTTTTGAATATAAGGTAACGATAAACTTGTTCAGTGTTGATTATTTTCATTTCAAAGCATCCAGAATAAGTCAAACTGCTGCAGGCAAGTCACTTGGACAGCTTCGCATCTACTTGTGCCCTTACACTGGGGAAAAAGTGTTTGTGTACAAGGTTTAAAGCAACTTTGTCTTTTAAAATTCAAAATCTGAGTGAATTTTTCATTTAATTCCTCCAGTCAGCAAATAATAAAACAAATTTTTGACTTTGTTTTCAAAAATTTGTCTATCCAACTCTGCACATTTTTAATGAATATAGTTTGTCAATTTCCTACTAGATATACACTTAATATTGAGTAGTAGCTCTGACATAGGAATTAAATGATTGACAGACATCAACTGTGTCTAACTCTTATGGGCACGTGAGAATTGTCCTTTACACCTGTGTTTCTAAGATTGCTGGAATATATACGAACGTTTTCCGAGCATCTGTCCCAGGAGCCAACAGAACACTAAGCGAGTGGCCAAGTGGTTTATTTCTAGTCATCTTCCCTCTAAAATAGTCATGTTAATAACAAGATAATTCCAAAAATACTAAAATCATTTTACTCAGTTATTGATAACAAATGTGGTCTCATAAATCTATTATAGAAGCAGAATATAACTGATATAAGTAAATAAATAGATCTATTCATTGCCATGGAAAAAGAAATATATATATATATATATATACATATCTATACACACATATCGTCTATCTATATATAATTTTTTCATTTTCTGGGTGAAATCTATTCAAGTTTATATCCTTATGACAAGTTTTGAGTTCTTCCTATTGCTTGTTAATTTATAAATCAGGGTGATAATAATATCACAGCTCATCAAAGATTTCAATCAGCTCTCCATCAATAGATCAGTTTTGCTTTTTATCTTAATAGAGTTTAAATAAGATTAACTTGACAAATATTAGTAATGGCATTAGATGGATTGCTAGATGAACTTGTTATGAAGCATAGATTTTTTTAAAAGTAAAATTACCTTTTCTCATAAGTAAACCAATTTTGTACATTTGACTTTATTCTAGCTTTGAGGCTGTGGATGGAACCCCTGGCCTGGAGCATACAAGGCAAACATGATACCATGTAGCCACGCTTCCAGCCCTAAATGAATGGGTGTTTTAAAAAGCATTATAATAGGTGCAAAGATGACTAAGAGACTAAGACACTGGCTGCTTTTCCAGAGGTCCTAAGTTTAACTTTCAGCACCCACATAGTGTTTTACAACCATCTATAATGAGATCTGGTGCCCTTTTCTGGTGTGCAGACATATATGCAGGCAGAATACTCTGTACATAATAAATAAATCTTTTTAAAAAGTGTTATACGCCAATAGAGAAAATTCTTCATTTTTAAAAAAGGCGTATTTTATTATTATTGTTGTTCATTTGTGTGTGAATATATGTCCCGTGTGGTAGGGGGATGCCACAGAGAACAGAGGGGTCAGACCCTCCTGGATCTGTAGTCACAAGCAGTTGTGAGCCACCTGATATGGGTGCTGGGAACAGAACTCAAGTCCGGTGTAAGAAGAGTATTGCATCTTAATTGCTGAGTCCTCTCTCTAACTTTGCTACTTTCCTTTTTATTGCAACATTAACAAAACATAGGTAACATTGTCAAATATCTAGAGGAGTCCAAGTCCCCATTACTGATTTCTGTTATTGGGGTATGAGGATATTCGAACTTATCTATTTAGTGACACATTATTTGATCGAATAGTGTCAAATGTAGACTTTCATTATATTCGAATACTTATGAGATGCTATAGAAGATAAGAATTTTTGTTGTTCTTGTTTAAATGTGTTTACCCTTGGGGGGAAAACACGTTGCAGGCATGTGCAGAGGAGTGAAAATGAAATGTTCTGACTGCAGCCACTGCAACATATAAATGCTTGCTGCAGGTAACCTGAAGCACACTGGACAGCCTGCAGAAGGCTGTCTGTCCTCTCCTAGCTAAACAGCTAGAAGCAATCTGGAGACCTATTTAGTTAAACACACAGTTCCCACCCAAAGGCAACCCTCGACTCTTCAAGGGTCTAATAAGCTTTCTTCTAGACACCGTGGGTTTTTTTTTTCTGTTCTTATTCTAGTTCAATGCATTCAAAACTCAACTTTGTTAGTATGCACACAATAAATGCAAATCTAAAATGCCTCACAATTTTAATAATGAAAAGTGGGATCCACCCGTCCAGAAATGTGGTGCTAGTGACTCTACAGAATAAACAGATTTATTTTCAAAATACGGAAGTGTCTAATAAACCTTCTTAATTTCTATTGATACCTTTATAAGGACATAGAAAATTAATTAGCCAGTAAAAATGACCTAATTGCTTTTGCTAACAACAACAAATAATATCTCCAGCTGTGTATGAACATCGAGAAAAGAGGGAGACAGAAGTAATTCCAGCTCTGTCATCACAATCCAGTTCCCAGCATGAGCTCCAAGCAAAACAACACAAGGGCATATGCAAATGCTTCCCACAGCTCCTCCCTGCAAGGGCAAGGCTGCTCCTTCACTTGCCTTGCTTTATCATCCTTTGGCATACTCTTGTCTTTTTTAAAGGCACCTTATAGGCAATCCCAGTGTTCACATGTACACAATGATCGCAAGCTTTAGAAGCATTTTTTTTCTCATCAAAACTGTTCCCGAGCACAGATCTGCTACCTTTTGAAATGTTATAAAAATGAATTCCATAAAAGTCAGTGAAGTCCCTTTGGCGTCAGTGGAGGGAAGGTATTAAAATACAGAAGCTCATTAATAAACCTGGAAACGTAAGGTATTTTGTGTTTTCATCCCCCAGGTAATAACTGATGAAGAATCATCACAGAGCTTTACATTTTTAGGAAGACACCAAACAGCAAAGTCTCCCCTGCAGTTAAATTGTGTTCCAATAAGGACATGGAGGTGAGCAATTTGTGTGTCACCTTTCAAAGTCTGAATCAGGGAGCATGCACCTGTTTGCGGCCTTACCTCAATGATTTTGTCATGAACCTCCAGGCCATCTGCTCTGTCTGCAGGTCCATTTTCTAAAATTTTTGAAACATAAATCCCTTCCGTAGATGATTGCTTCGGGTGATTCTATAGAAAAAGTTGTTAGCAGAAAGAAACACATGAAACAAACTTTAAATTTTGTAGTGGATGATTTTTTTTTCATACTGTAACAGTGGCAATTCTGCTCAAACATGCAACTCTCTTAGCTGGGAATTTGGCACAGAATTAACTCGCTTAATGCCAGCTCGTCATTAATCAACATGACAGCTATAATGAACAAGTCCAGCATCTCTGACAAGATCATCTATTTACTTTACAGTTTGAATTCACACGAAAAGCTCCAGAGAAGGACACATACAAGGTGAGATCAGCAGTGTTACTGTTAAAACCTCTCACCTATAAAGTGATATGGGAGATAGAAAAAGACAGAAGTATAGGAGAAAGAAATCAAATTTACCCTCTAGTCCATAAAGCTTAAATGCAGCCGTAGCCCTAAAAACATACTGTAGCTTCCAGTTTGAAAAAAAAATTGAAATCATAGCTCTGACTACCTAGGAGACAGCATGATTTCATATCTAAAATATCAAAATATCAACTCCACATGGCTAAGAGGCCCATTCAAATCGGATCATTACATGGTTCCAGGTGCAAGTTTCACAGCAAATAGGTGAACCTCAGATATCCAGTCTTTGACAATGCACAGCATTTTAGCCAATTATAAGAAACCAATGATCCTGTGAGACCTACTTAGGAAGATGTCTGTCATCATATAACAACAGGTTATGCGTTCTTAAGTGTCAGTTGATTTTATGGCAGGATAAATAGAATTAACCCGAAACCTTCCCTTTAGTTAGCCTGCTTCAACCAGAACAGGAAGTCCTTCTATAAAATGCTCATTGTCAAATTTCCAACTGGAAATTTCCACCAACAGAAGGGAGAATGAAAATAATATGAAAAAACGCCTGTGGTTTTTAATAACAGCATTTATTAAAAGAGCTGAAAGGACCATTTCAGCAGAGAAACAGAACAGTGGCCTTTAATTGCTGGGTTTGCTAGTTGCATAGAAGACGCAGGATGGCATAGGTCACTGCCATCCTAAATCCAGCTTAGAGCAGGACAAAAGGTCCTACGACATGTGAGTCCTTGAACAGCAGATGGCAGATGAGACAGGCGTGTTTCAGAGCAGTTAACCAGAGAGTTAGATTAGGTGATCTTCTTTATTAAATTTCACTGTCTTTATCCAGTTACGCTCAAAATTAAGGCAGTGTACGATTGCAGGATGTCAAAGGATTTTGTAACTACAGTATGTAAATTCTGAATATGTACTCTGAGAACAAGTAAGTAGGTAAGTATAATAAGCAAGTAGAGATTATTCATTCATTTAAATAAGGAGTTGATTTGGGAAACCAAAAAAAAATGTATTACATCAACTCTTTTTAGTATGAAGTTGCTTAAGAAATTTCAGGAGGGAGGAGGAGGGGAAGAAGAAAACACACACTCACAAATACACACACACACACCTCACTTTTATCTTACTTAAACTCATTTCAACTCTGAATTCAATATACACTGTTAGCTTTTCCAACCCTGTCTGCTTCTAAAGACTAAGCTGTTGAGAGCAGGAAGTATGTGCAGACAAGATACAACTTTGTGTTACATCGCCTACCCAGGTACTCTGCCATTGGTTCAAGAACTCTGCCCATGGTGCTATCCCAGAAAGATGAATGAAATGGAAACCACACTCTTTCCTTTATGACTGTGTCTAAGAGAATCAAGTTGGTCAACTGCGGGTGATCTAGTGTTGCTGTCAAATTCTCTCATAATGAAAACTGAGTGTGGACGAGAAGCTCCACATTAAGAATCTTGTATTTGGGGACAAGCATCCCGTAAGGGTGACATCACGTGTGTTCCCGACCCATCGCTCACTGCACACACAGAATGCTGTACTAGAAGAGGAGTCACCTGATTCCGCCTGCCTCCTATTATGTTGAATCCCAAAGCTTCATCTTCTCTTTCTAACACAACAGTGAGTGACTTCTGGTCTCCACCCTACGTGAAAAAGGGGAAAAGTGAATAATTAAAAAAAAAATACAAGAGAAGATTAACCACTACAGTGGCCTTTTACCGTAAATAGAAAGCGTTTTAAGAATGGTTGACTCCAACGAACTTTCTCCCCAACACAGAAAGCATGTCTTTGACGGAAACTACTGTGCGCCTGAGGAGAAAAGGATTTTCCCATTGACTACATGGATTTGCATTCCACCCGGGCAGCGTCTCACCTGACTTCCCCTTAACCGCAAACAGATTTTTGGGCTCCACCTGCAAGGCTCCTGATTTTTATCTTTGTGTGACAGAAAAGCAAAATAAACTGTCAGCGGATCTGAGAGCCATTTTTGTGTGAATGTTCACTGTGGAAGTGTGGAGCTAGTTATAAAGGTCTCCTCGGCACAAACAGTCAGGCTGCCCCGAACGCAGGATCTACTAGTGGAAGGCAGCTGTCTGGATTTTAAATAATACGGGTTTGTCACCATTCTTGCAGAATAAAAATAAAAAGGGATTTTCGCTAGGCAGAGCGCTGTGTCTTTCTTTCTGGATGGTCCAATAGTATTCAAACAAATATAAATTATATCTGCCACTTGTTTGTTAGCAAAGACCCATTTCAACAGTCCCGGATGTAGTTGGATAAGCTAAGCAGTAATTACCACTACAAACATTTACTTCTCCGAGGAACTGAAATACCTGGAATTATGTCTGACACTGAGGGATGAAACCTCAGTCCATCCCCACAGCAACCTCAGTCCCCAACACACACCACCCCAGCAGTTTTCCCAGAGCCCACAGCAGCCCCTACAGGCAGGTGGAAAACAATTTGGAGACGCGCCGCCCACTGGCAGCCTTTGAAAAAACAGTCCAGAAAATACAGCGTGGAGCGCTGGTTCTCAACCTGTGGGCCGCGGGTCACGTATCAGATATCCTGCATAACAGATGTTTACATTACGATTCATAACAGTAGCAAAATTAGAGTTATGAAGTAGCAACTCTGTGTGTGTGTGTGTGTGTGTGTGTGTGTTGTGTGTATTTGGTTGGGGTCATCGCAACACGAGGACCTGTATTAGATAAGTGCAGCATTAGGAAGGTGGAGAACCGCTGGCAGAGAACCACAGCTTGACGGATGCTGAACGTTTTTAGCCCATAGTTCTAACCCTTGTTCCTTCTCATCAACGTTGAAACCTGAACTGGGGGTGCAAATGGACTCTGTGTGCTTTTCTCTTGGTCATCTATCTGAAGATTAGCCCATACACACGCAGACTAGGGAACTCATGTAGCATCCAGACGTTTTTATTTTTATTCTCTCCTTTAACTAGGTGCTCATGGAGTTCTGTTATGAAAGGGTGCTTTCAAACAAGTATAATCTGTGTGCTGGGCACAGCCGTCTTCTTACATGCTCCCCCATCAGAGGGACTTATCTAATATTGACTGTGTTTTTCAGGCTAGGGGTAGGAAGGTCAAAACCGAGGGCCAGAACTGGAGTCATAAGTAAGCAGCCAGTCCCCTACAGGAAGCCCTCTGTTCTCCTCCCCAGGGAGAGCAGAAAAATGGAAACAGCTCTTTGAAAGAGGGTGCAAGTGAAATCCCTGCTTGCTATGCCAGCGACCAGTCAAATCAGACACCTGTGCGAATGTAGCAAGAACAAGCTATAGCTGATGAACAGGTCCCTTCACCCCGGGCTGCTGCAGCACGCAGGGCAGGATCAGCCGCTTCTGCGAAGTAGGAAAGGTTGTTGCTGTTTGGCACGCAAGGGTCTGACCACAGGCAAATATTCTTGTCCTGAGACTAGTCCCCTGGTCATACATTATGCACACTCACCACTAATAGGGACATGCGAGGTCGGGAGGGAGGAAGGAATTATGAGGTAAAATCAGGGATGTAAAGAAATCTCACCCTGGTTCCACCACCACCATCCGTCGAGGTCCCTGGACTGAGGAAAGGCTAGTTAAAACAAACGATAGGCGTACTTTGGCAGGGAAAATAAGTCATTCGACAGTTCATTGGTTTACTTATGGAATTTGCTGCAGGCACAGGCCAAGGATACAAAAGATGGGCAGAGATGAGGGGCAGGAAAATGGAAGATGGGGAACACGAATGTGGATGGGAGAAGACGTTTGCCAATGCTTCTTTTCTAGGAGAGAATTGAGTTGGACTCCCTTAACCCTAAGCAATGTCTCTGGGCAGAGGTGCTGATGAGGCTAGCTGAGCATAATCAGGGAGATGCCTCATGCGGCGCTGGGATAAAGGATGGCACCTCCGGAAGGAATCCTCACCGCTAGGGAATAACTCCCTCGTTCCACCCCAGTCACGCTTGGGGGCCCAATCCCTCTTTGCTTACCCGGCGGCGGCCTCCTGTGTCCCGGACCAAGTTGCGTGTGTGCGCCATGTACCGGGCCAACTTCTGGTACCTGCGCTGCAACAAGCCGAGCTGCGTTCGCAGCGTCTTCCCCAAGCGCCTGCAGGGGGCAACCCGAGGCCGATCCCGGGACCCCGGGGGCCCCTCACGCTTGTCTCCACTTGGGAGGGTCGTGATTTCCTGGTGCCTTTCCTCCTCGCCGCCTCCGCAGCCGCCTGGGCAGTGGCGGCTGCAGCCGCTGGCAGGGCCGAAGGCGCAGCTCTGGACGTGAGCCGCCAGCTCCCGTAGGCGCACGGTGTGGCCGCAGCCCCGCGCACGGTAGTCGCACTGCACTCGCAGTTGCTGGACCAGGCTGCGCAGCGGCAGCACCCGGTAGAGCTCGCCTGGCTCCAGCGGCTGGCACTCCAGCGGGCACCGGCGCCTCCGCGCCGCCCAGGGCAGCAGGCAGCTGGCGCAGAAAACGTGCCCGCAAGGCGTGCACGCGGGCTCCTCCAACACCTGGCTGCACAGCTGGCAATGGAAAGCCGGGTCCACGGCTTCCGCGAAGCGCTCTAAAGCAAAGCCCATGATAACGGTGGGGAGGAGAAGATCCAAAAGGGGTGTCCGTTTCTTCTCAGCACCCCCAGGCAGCGCCAGGGGTAGCGGTCTCACAGCCGCTGAACTCTGTGGGGAGGTGTGTGTGATCTCAGAGTAAGTTTGAATTGGCGTTTCCAAGTTTTGGCTAGCTTCTCTGACCTCCACATTGACACTAATGGAAGCCACCTGGGTGAATCCTACCCTACCCCACTCCAGTCTTTGTGGCTTTGCAATGCGAGGTTTTTCAAGTCTATCCTTGAGAAGGAGGCGAGCATACAGTGGTCTTTGGGTCAGCTTTATTTTCCCCCTGAGCAAAGAACTTCAAGTACTCTGGAGTGTTCTGCCTGGGCAGAGCTGGTCATCTGCTTAGTACTGATATGAAGAACTTTGAAACTTCCCAGAGATGAAATAGTCCAGAATTAGGATCATTGTGTCAAGTAGATCCTCAATAAAACAATGTTTGAAATACATATACTTTTGTTTGTTTGTTTGTTTTCAAACGAGCTAAGTAAAAAAATCACCAGCTAAGAACTGTGACCCCAAATCAACTTCACGTTTCAAGAAGATCATTTAGGGCTTCCCAGAGCCAGAGCTTTCAAATCAAGATACAGAAGTCAGGGGAATGTAGAGAAGAGTAATCTTGGAGCGTGTGACAAGGATTGGGGTCCTCAAGACACCTTATTCTTGGTGGGGAGAAAACAGTGAACAGTCATACAGAACTCCTGCCGAGTGAAGAGACCCAAGTTTCATGGCTGCAGCTTCCCCCCAACTTCATTTGCCACACTATTTTCTACTTTTGGGTGCATATTAGTACTGGGACCAGGGTATGCCCTTCTGGTTCCTTGAAGCAAAATCAAAAGGTAATAATCATGAATAAAATATCAGAATAACGTAAAAACAAAACCTGAGCAAAGCCTCTCCACTCAACCAGAACAGAAGGAGCACATAAGCCTTTATTCAACCTGAAAATGTACTTCTCTAGGTGACAGTCAAAAGAAACAACAGATTCACTCAATACCATGGCATGGACCCAAATACCTGTAAGGAGACCACACTGGTTGTGTATTTTTCATCTTAGTAACTGGGTTTTAATGTCACCATTGACCCATCTATTCTCATGAAAAGAATGTCAGTTGGCCCTTCTACTGAACCTGCTCTTGAACAGCAATGAGAGTGGGCCGGGCCTGGCTGGTTCTTGTGTGGAGAGACAGGCTTCCAACTCAGGTTAGAGTAAATCCTGCTTCCAAAGAGCAGTAGGGAATCTGGGAATCATAAGTTACTGTGTCAGACCTAGAACGCCTAACATCTAAGGACATTATCCTAAGGCAGATAAGTGAAGCCTGCAGATGAAATGGGAAACAGCTTTTCCCCACTTCGAACCTAGAAAATGTTTTGCCAAGCCAACTAATTTTTAAAATTTGTTTTGTGGGCTACATAGGCTTATGCCAACTTAATACTAAGCTAGAGTTATCTGAAAGGAGGGAAATTAAATTAAGAAAAATGCCTCCATAAGATCCATTTGTAAGGCATTTTTTAAATTATTGATTGATTGCAGATAGCCTAGCTCATTGTGGTTGGTGCCATTCATGGGCGGGTGGTCCTGAATTCTATAAGGAATTAAGGCATTCTATAAGGTTGAGCAAGGCAGTAAGCAGCACCCTCCATGGCCTCTGCATCAGCTCCTGTCTCCAGGTTCCTGCCCTGTTTGAGTTCCTGTCCTTATACTTCCACATTGCGGTTCATCATAGATGGCAGTAAGGCAAATAAACCTTTTCTTCTCCAGCTTGCATTTTGGTCATGGTGTTTCCTTGCAGCAACAGCAACCCTAACTAAGATATCCTGTTTTTCCTTTTGTCTTATATGTTTGATTATGATCCATGCAGTCAATAGCTTGAGAAAATATTTCAAATAATAATTTAAATAAATAAGTCATTTATTTAATATCTGATTATAACACTGCTTAGTAATTTTAAAATAGCAATATTTTTTAAATTACCCATAGAAATTTCACTGAAAGAACATTTAATTTTTAAATTTTATTTTCTCTGATTCTCTGGTTTTATTTTATATCAGAAGTATTTCTATCATCTTTGGCATTTCTTAAAGTGATCTAAATTGATAACTTTATAAAATTACTCTAACAATCGAGGCAAAGTATTCTGATATGTTAGGCCTATACAGTTTCTACGTCATACATTTATCTGTATTATTGAATTTGCCGTGTATGTATATTCTTTTCTTGGTCATTTTGTGTCACAACCAAAGGTCTGAGTTTTTCTTTGAAGTATAATTGAATGTGTTCACAAAGCTTGTGATCATGAGAAGGTCACCTCGACCCAGAGGAGAGCTATGTCTCTTCGAGAAAGTAGCAATGTTGTGATGCCAAGGCAGCTGAGAGTTTCTTTCTGAACTATTTGATCAGAGGTACGATTCGGGTATATGATTTACTCTTGGAAAAATTTAGAAGCATTTAAAGCCAGAAAATGCAGAGCATTCTCAGCCGTTACACTCCCTGCCCACTGACATGCAACCCATTCGCGGTCCTTTGCTATTACCTTGGTTTTCTGCTCTTTGGCAAAATGAAGACATAGGTGAACATCATGACAGTACGAATGCTATTGTTTAGGGAAATGAAGTGATCTGAGCAAAAGTATCCCACATCCCAAAAAGAATAAAAGGTTTGCAACAACTGTTTAGTCCCTATGAAGATTAGTAATCAAACAAAGCTAAGTAAGTAATTGGAAGGAAATCTAATTAAAGGTGAGTAATTAAATTTAAAAGTGTAGCAACTGCTCTTGGTGTCCTCCCAGCTTAGCTCCTTTCTTCAACCCCTCATAGCCCTCCTTTCTAGCCCATCCTGATTCCTTTATGTCAGTCATTGATAGCTAGAAACCCCTGCTACCTAGAGACCCCAGTGGACAACACTGGGCTGCAGGTCGGTGATTCTCATAATTGCTCCTGTCCACCATCAGCCTTTCCTCAGTCTTACTTTCAGTTCTGTAGCAGCCTGCTTGCAGGTGCCCTTTCTCTCACTGTACATCCATTCCCCTGAAGACACCAATTCCTACTTGGGACCCAGCTTAGCCCTTCCTTGCAGAACCTCTCAGCATTCCCTCTTTGCTCATCTCCATTCCTCTGTGTCAGCCGTCTATACCCAGCAACAATTTCCCCAGGTCCCTGGTGGCCACCCCAGGCTGGGACTCAGGTAGATGATCCTCACTACCCTTCCTCTCCATCCATAATGATCTTTCCTGCTTCACCCTCAGCCCCTTTGGAGCCTGCTCATGGGTGCACCTCCTCCCACCTCACGTCCAGCCATTGGAAACTGTGATGCTAGGTGTAGACCCAGGATTACCAGAGGCCTGTCATCCTGTGTCTCCAGACATTTTTTTCTTTTCTTTTTTTGTCTTCCTGCTGCATTCTTGCAGAAACTCTCCTCCTGCCATGGTTCCAACTTCCCAAGGAACCATGCTTTGGCCTAGACAGGATTACCCTAGGTCTTTCCCACAGCCCACCCCAGTCTTCCCTTCTACTCCTCCCAGGCACTCACTGCCTGGAAGAAACTCTCTACCAAGGAAATCTGAGCCTCCACGCTTTCCTAAGATCCGGACAGGGCAGCAGAAAGGAGGGAACAGAACAGCAAATCAACAAAGACAAAAACAAATAATCAATACCTCAATCACCCTAAATCCAGTTGCCTAGACGCCAGGGCAAAAACACAGACTTGAGTGCTCAAGACAGTGTATCTCCTCCAGAATGCAGTAACCCTATTACAATGAATCCTGGAAATGCAATATAGATGAATCACAAGACAATACATTCAGAGTAGCCTTTATGAAGATGTTAGTGGTCTTTAGAGAAGATATCAATACATCTATTAATAAATTCTATTAAAATACAAGCAGAAGAAGGAAATGAAAATAATTCAAGGCATGAAAGTGGAAATAAAATCAATAAAGAAAACCCAGACTAAGTGAGAACTGGAAATGAATAATTTAGGAACTTAAACAGGAGCCTCAGAGGCTCACTCACCAGCAGAAAACAAGAGATGGAAGAGAGGCTACGAGACAAGAGAGAAGAAATGGATGCCCCAATCAAAGAAAACGTTAAATCTAAAAACACCCAGACACAAAATATACAGGGAACCCGGGACACCACAAAAAGGCCTAATCTAAGAAGAACAGGAATAGAGGAAGGAGAAAAAAATCTGGCCAAAGGCAGAGAAAATATTTTCAACAAAACTATAAACAGAAATTTCACCAACATAAAGAAGAAGGTACCTATTAAGGTAGAAGAAATATACAGAACACCAAATAGACTGGACCAAAAGGGAAATTCTTTATGACACATAATCAAAATGGTAAACATATCGAATAAAAAAGAATATTGAAAGCTACAAGGGAAAGATACCAAATTAACACATAAAGGTAGACTTAGTAGAATAACACCTAGCTTTTCAACGAGGACGGTACAAGCCAGAGCAGCCTAGGCAAATGTTCTATAAACTATGAGACCACAGATATCACTCTAGAAAAACTTTCAATCACAATAGATGGAAGACATTTCTAAATCAAGGTCAGATAAGCAATTTAAACAAATCTATAACTTCCTAGTAAAACAGAAGCAGCAAATTAAAGTCTCCCAACCAAAAAAGCCCAGGGCTAAATGGCTTTAGAACAGAATTCTACCAGACTTTCAAAGAAAAATTAATCCCAATACTCCTCAAATTATTGCACAAAATAAAAACAGAAGAAACATTGCTCAATTTCTTTTTATGAAGCCATAGTTACCCTGATATTTAGACCACATAAAGACTCAATGAAGAAAGAGAATTACAGACCAAGTTATTTTATGACTATAGATGCAAAATTTTAAATAAAATACTTGCCAACTGAATTCAACAACACATAAAAAAAATATAATCCATCATGATTAAGTAGGCTTTGTACCAGAGAGGCAGGGATGTTTCAACATACATAAACCAATAAAGGTAATCCACCATATAAATAGATGAAAAGA